AGACAAGAGCAACCAGAAGATAATGCAATGTTCCAGGAGTTATTATTAAAATAAGAAATCAGAAATGAGAAATGTTTAATTAATGAAATATTTATTTTTACAGCTTCTGTAAAAACTAGACCTTATTAAACCTTACTTAATCATTAATAAATGGTTAGTTAACATTGAAAACATCATTAATTAGGCATAATTCATGCTTAACAAGCTATGATTAACACGCTTATTAATGCTTTACCCATAAAGGCTAATTATGTCCAAATCCAACATTGTTTATTCTTTCTTAATAACTCACGCAATAACTATTATTTATACTGTGTATGTATGTAAATACTTATATAAACGTACTTTCACACTAGGTGTTAGATACGTGTTAATGATTATATAATGTTTGAAGTTATTGTGATTTCAGTCTATGGGTGAAAGGGAATTTGTGGCCCTTCAGGGTTTGTCTATTAACAAATATTAACAAATATTAAATAATCTTCCCTTTAGARGGGTTGACTAAAGACTTTCATAACAACCAATTATTGATGTACAGCAGGATTAGTAAATAGTCAATTCAAACATTCTGTATCCATTAAAACATGTCTAACACCTGGTGTGAAAGTACATTTATAGACCATTTATTTACATGTACACAGAGTAAATAGAATAAATAATTCTTGAGTTATTAAGCATGAAAAAACAATTATTTTTTTATTTTGTGAGTAATTAGTCTCTATGGACAAAGCATAAATAAATGTCTTAATTCATAGCTTATTAAGTATAAATCTTACTTGATTAGTGATGTTTTTTAGGGTAACTAACCCTTTATTAACAATTAAGTTAGGCTTAATAAGGTGCAGTAATTATAAAGTGTTGCCAGCAGAGTTGCAGGCCTAAAGTAACTAAGTACAAATACTTTATTACTGTACTTAAGTAGAATTCTTGGGTATCTGTACTTTACTTGAGTAATTGTTTTTCAGCCTACTTTTTACTTCTACTCCTTACATTTAAAAAAGGCAAGAAGTAGAAAGTCGTTACTTTTATTGTATTTTTGCTTGTTTTCATTCCAGGTTGTTATTGTAAAAAATAAAAACTATCCATATAAATTGTGCCTCCTAGATAGTGAATTTAACTGTGGTTGAATGAGAAGTATAAATATATAAAACTCTGATAGCGTATTAGTTTGTACACAAACAAATCATGTCCCACTCCAGCAGGACAGAATCATTAAAGTAAAAGGACTGTACTTAAGAAGTATTTGTATTTCATGAATTATATTATTACATTTGGCCGCAGCCCTCAGATAGATTTTTATTTTGTGGAAAAGTTTTGTACAGCCTTGATATATGTATATAAACGGAAACAGCTGGACTAGTGCATCCTAAATTTAACATTAATTAGTGATTTTAATATGACATACTCATTTCTGCATTGTTTTGGGGAGGTCACCTCCTAATGTCCTTACAGAAAATCTAACTGCTCATTTTAAATCAATACCTGTACTTTTAATACTTAAGTACAAAAAATATCAGGTATTTTAAGACTTTTACTCAAGTAATATTCCTAAAGAGACTTTAACTTTTACCAATTTAATTTTTTGGTAAGATACTTGTACTTTTACTCATCACCTTGTGGTACTTTATACAACACTGGTTGCCAGAGATGTATTTGACAGTGTCAGCACATTTTTTTTTATAACAACCCTTAAAGATTTTAGACAGAACTTGGATTCTCTCAGGTTTTCAGTGAGGATGTAGTTTCCATTAAGACCAGAGTCAAATCAATAATCAGCTGTTAGGAGTGTCTTCAGTGCAGGTGAAGTTCTGTCTCTCGGGTTTGTTTGCAGCATCTGGAGCTTACTGTAAATGGTGAACAAGTACCAGGTTGAGCTTAAATCTAAAACAAGGAACATGTTTGGTTTAATTATCAAGTAAAGAAAGCGATGAATAATTTATACGATGAGTAGGACCTCTCAGCGTGGTTCTGGATGTGTAATGGAGTGTTTGAGGCTCTAGTTTCTGCGTGTCAGTGGAGTTAGTCAGCGGTACTGACCGGCTAATTGTGTGATCCCAAACAGCCTGCTTTAGAGTCTGTTTTCAATGAGGAAACTGCTGTTTTTATAAGATTCAAAAAGACTTGGTGAACTCAGAAAAAGGGGACAGATTTTTGATCTTAGCCCCAGGCAAGGTCAGCCCGATGATTTCCTTTTACTCAAATACTGTGAAGCAGAAATGTTCTTGGATTTTAGATCAGTCTGTCATAACAGTGAATAACATGTAGAGCGTGCCAGAGAACGGAAAAAAAAATACAAATAATAAAATCATTTCTGTGAGTTGTCAGAGAAAAGCTGCAGAATTTCTTATTATACTTGAACAGAAATATCTATCTATCTATCTATCTATCTATCTATCTATCTATCTATCTATCTATCTATCTATCTATCTATCTATCTATCTATCTATCTATCTA